TACTATAAAAAAATATGCTGTGGAAAATATGCTTATAATTATCAATATAAATTTATTTACAAGATATATTTATGAAAAGCTTCTTGTGAGTGATAGATAATATTACTGCTGATGTCTGATAATAGTTTGTTGATGCTACAATTATTGTGAAACAAGATATTAAGATATCAACGTTTACCATGAAAAATATGTACTGTAGAAAATATGCTTATAAATATTAATATAAATTTGTTTACAACATGTATTTGTATAAGGCTACTTGTGAGTGATAGGGGATATCATGACTGATGTTTGATGTTAATTTGTTGATGCTACAGTGATTGGGCAACAAGATATTTAGATATTTACATTCACTGTGATGAAAAACACTACAGAAATTATACTTATAAATATGGATATAAATTCATTTACAACATATAGTTGTGAAAATGTACTTGAGAGTAATAGATAATATACTTATTGATGTCTGATTTTAATTTGTTAATCCTACAATGATTTTGAAACAAGATATTAATATATTTTACAATAAAAAAAAAACTCTAGAAAATATGCTTTAAAAGTTCACCATAATAATCGCTGTGCACATTAGTAAAATAATTGATGTGAGTACAACATAAAATGAAGACTCATGTGGGAAATAATTTTGCTTAAACTAATATATTTTAAAGTACTTTTTTACACCTGTAAATGTATAGAAGATTGATTATAGGCAAACTTAAATAATACAAGAAAAATATTGAAATAAATAAATATTATCAGTAAAACAATTGATGTCACCACAACATGAAGATTGATGTGGGAAAAATTGGTTAAATTACAATGTATAAAAAACATAGTTTTATATTTTTAAATAAAAAGATTAAATACATGCAGTGGTTGTAAGCAAACTTAAAAAAATACAAAATAATATTGAAAGAGATGTTATTAGTAAAAGAAATGATGAGTACACTAGAACATGTAGACAAATGCTGGAAAAATTATGCTAATAAAAAATATTTTTATTAAGTCATTCATTCATTTTCTTTTCAGCTTAGTTTTTATTAATCCGGGGTCGCCACAGCGGAATGAACCGCCAACTTATCCAGCAAGATTTTATGCAGCGGATGCCCTTCCAGCCACAACCCATCTCTGGGAAACTATTTTATATATATTTAAAAAAAAACACACATTAATGACTATGACGTTAGGCTAACATAAAAAGTGACAAAAATACTTATAATATTCTTAAAATAAGTTATACGAGTACAACAAAAATAAAGATTCATGCTTGAAATCAATACCACCATTACCACCACCATTGAAATATTATTTTACTATTGTGCACAACAATTATTAAGGTGGACTTTTAAAGCATATTTTCTATAGTGTTTTTTTTTATTGTAAAATATATTAATATCTTGTTTCAAAATCATTGTAGGATTAACAAATTAAAATCAGACATCAATAAGTATATTATCTATTACTCTCAAGTACATTTTCACAACTATATGTTGTAAATGAATTTATGTTCATATTTATAAGCATAATTTCTGTAGTGTTTTTCATCACAGTGAATGTAAATATCTTAATATTTTGTTGCCCAATCACTGTAGCATCAACAATTGAACATCAGACATCAGTCATAATATCCCCTATCACTCACAAGTAGCCTTATATAAATACGTGTTGCAAACAATTTAATATTAATTTTTATAAGCATATTTTCTACAGTACATATTTTTCATGGTAAACGTTGATATCTTAATATCTTGTTTCACAATAATTGTATTGTCAACAAACTATTATCAGACATCAGCAGTAATATTGACTATCACTCACAAGAAGCTTTTCATAAATATATCTTGTAAATAAATTTATATTGATAATTATAAGCATATTTTCCACAGCATATGTTTTTTTATAGTAAACGCAGATGTCTTAATATGTTGTTGTGAAAACATTGTAGGATAAAGAAATAAATATCAGACATCAGTAATAATATTATCTATCACTCACAAGTACTTTTAGAGAAATATATGGTGTAAAAAATTCATTAATATTTATGATCATAATTGCTGTAGTGTGTCTTTTTCATAAATGTAAATATCTTAATATTTTGTTTGTAGCGTAAACAAACTATTATCAGACATCAGCAGTAATATTGTCTATCACTCACAAGAAGCTTTTCATAAATATATAATGTATATTAATTTATATTAAAATTTGTGTTCATAATTTCTGCAGTGTGTTTTTAATGATTGTAAATTTGTTAATATCTTGTTTCAAAATCATTGTAGGGTCAACAAATGAACATCGGACATCAGTAATACTATTGTCTATCACTCACAAGCACCGTTTAATAAATGTATGTTAGATATGAATTAATATTAATATTTATAAGCATAAGTTCTGTAGTGTTTTTTTATGAATCTAAATATCTTAATATCTTGTTGTGAAATAAATGTAGGATAAAGAAATTAAAAATCTAGCCATCAGTAATAATATTATCTATGACTCACAAGTAGCTTTTCATAAATATATTTTGTAAAAAAAAACTATATTGATAATTATAAGCATTTTTTCCTAAGTTTTTTTTTCATGGTAAATGCAGATATCCTAATATCTTGCTTTACAATTATTGTAGGATCAATAAATTAATATCAGACATCAATAATTATATTATCTATCACTCACAAGTACATTTTCATAAATATATGTTGAGAAATAATTTATATTAATATTTGTTTGCATATTTTCTGTAGTGTTTTTCATTGTGGATGTAGATGTCTAAATTTCTTTAAGTCCAACCATTGTAGTGTCAACAAATTAATATTAGGCATCAGCAGTAATATTATCTATCACTCATAAGTAGCTTTTCATAAATATATCTTGTAAATAAATTTATATTGATAATTCTAATCATATTTTCTACAGTATGTTTTTCATGTTAAACACAGATATCGTAATATCTTGTTGTTCAATCATTTTAGGATTAACAAATTAATATCAGACATCAGTCATAATATCCCCTATCACTCACAAGCACTTTTTGAGAAAAATATGGTGTGAAATATTTTATTAATATTTGTGAGCATAATTTCTGTTGTGTTTTTCATGAATGTAAATATCTTAATATTTTGTTGTGAAATAATTGTAGCATCAACAAATTAATATCAGACATCTGTAATAATAATATCTATCACTCACAAGTAAGTTTGGAGAAATATATGTTCTATAATAGTTTATAGTAATATTTTAGAGCATAATTTCTGTAGTGTTTGTTTATCATTGTGTATGTAAATGTGTAATTTTTTTTGTTGTCCAATCATTGTAGGATCAACAAATTATAATGATCATAATAAATGCACACTATTTATGATATAATGATAGTTTAATGTACAACAACATGTCATAAACAGAAAAAACAGAAATGACAGTGTTACAATATTTAGTTAAGACAATGGGTAAGACAGAGGTAAGGAAAACAGCAAGGCACAGGTTGCATGCATGTTCTGCAGGGTCCACAGATGTTGATGTGCACAGGCCATGATTTCAAAACCTACCTATTTAAACAAATCAAATGACAAGGTTACATACAAATCAGAAACATAAAAAATGTGTGTGTATGTATGTATATATATATATATATATATATATATATATATATATATATATATATATATATATATATATATATATATATATATATATGAAATATATTAATCAATAAAAACATGTCATTGTAATGCAAAATGTAAGTGATGTGTACCGTTATAGTAGTTGGCTGAATTCCTTTTGTTCGTTTTTCAACAACCTGAGAACTTGTGACACGGTCCCTTTGTTGTTTTTCACGCGATATTGAATATTCGGTCTGAAATCCCATGTAAGTAACACTTCAAACAACACTAGCATGATTTCTTTGACCATGAACGCTGTTGTAGTTTGATAATAGTTGTCTGCTAGTGTGATTTCGCTATTTGGAATTTGCAAACAATAGTTTTCTAATATTTTATTAGGGGAGCGTAAGTGCGAATGTGCAAATATAAAACCAACTTTACTTCTATCTTGTAACTTAAGATTCCATCGCCGGGAGTAGCGCTGCATTTCGTCAAAGTTCTCTCTTAAGCCTGATTCATACTTCCGCGTCAGGTGACCGGCGTAACCCACGGCGCAGGCAACGCGCGTGGCTGTGCATTTATACTTCTGCGCGCTGTCTCTGAAACGCTTCCGAAACTTCCGAAACGCTAGTTGGCAGTGAGGTGTAAATGTTCCTCTGTGTCGAGTTTCTTCGCTACTTTTTTGCATTTCCTGAACACTTCTGGGATGTACAAGTGGCTCAAACTCGCTCATTTTGAGGCAGGAACCGGCGGACGTGCAACAACTTTAACTATGAGGTAAACACAAAACAAAACTTTCCATCCGGAGCTCCTTCACGGGACGTAGACGTAGATTTTCTGCGTTTCATCCATTTTAGCGGTTAGCTTCTGAATCGCGTCAAGGAGTGTAGATAAGGATATTTCATCCGTACCTTTTGATCTCGTATGATTCTTGGATGGAGTAGAACAAATAGGCTTTGCAAAAACCTCTTCATTGGCACCAATTTCTGTCTCAAGATCGATATTTTCCAAGTTTGCAGACTCCATGTCCCCTTCTTCCACGAGGTATCCAGCCAATATAGCACTTTCCTGAAGGGACTGATTCTTTCTTTTTTTCCCCATTGTCACGTCAGAAATTAAAAATGTCCGTTAAAAATATTCAGGAACACATTAACTTTCAAAATTTAAGATTCTACATGCAAAATAACCACTTTGTTAACTTTAAAACTCCTCGTAGTGCATAAGCGCTAAAAAACGTGACCATTCACTCCGCTGCCATCTTGGCTCCTCCCTGAAAAAAAAAGTTTTATTTTTGTTTTGACGCGTCGGCGCGATGACGTTATTGACGTGCGTTGCCGCGGTGACGTCAGTGACAGCGCGCGCTTTGCAGTCTGTCGGAGGACAGAGCAGAGCGAGGTAGGCATTTACTCCTGTCCCGTAGAAAAGTGTGTATAAAGTACAAAAATATGTAATTTAGATGAAGTGAGTTTGTTATAATATGTTATATAACATGGACATGAGTTATATGAGTGTGTTTGGGTTCTTTATATCGTGTTTTAACCTGCCAAACTGTCGTTTCAACCAAGAGAAGTGCAGTGCACAATGTTAGCATGAAATTTAGCCTGTGAAATGTGTATTTTGATTGCTGATTTTCGATTTGTTTTGTGTATGAATGTTTAGCAGTAGCAGGTGTAAGAGGAGTTTTAAGAGAAGACTAACTGCATGTTCTCTGTTTGTGCAGGTATTGTTTTTTGTGTTTTATGTGTCTGATGTTTAATGTGTTATATAAAATACTGGTAAATGTTATATATTATATATTAAGTGGAGTTTTTGTAAAGCATTGGGAAGTTAAAATATTCACTATATTAATTAACAGTTTTATAATGACTTATCTTTTTTCATTTTGTAATATGTTATATTTACTGTTTTGTTCTTGCTTGAGTCTGTCGGAGGACAGAGCAGAGCGAGCAGTAGCAGGCGTAAGAGGAGTTTTAAGAGAAGACTAACTGCATGTTCTCTGTTTGTGCAGCACTTAAATAAATGAGACCGCTGAACCTGCAGACAGACTCCAGCTCTTTACTTTACACAACACAACACAACACAACGCAGAGGGGTAGTCGAGCCGTTAAGACCAGCCCCGGCTACATGATCATTATTCAACAGAATGAGCAACTACGGTAAGAGAAAGCGCGCGATCTGACAACTTTTCAAAGTAGTTTAAAGCTATAATCTCTTCTTTGTACTGTTAAATAACTACAATGTATCATAATTTGTTTAATGATGCAGAAAATGTTTCTCTACAAATAATCGCAATGTTATAGTCCTATGTTATTCGCGTTTTTTATGCACAGAGGCCGAATTTGTGGATCGGAACCGCGCCGTCCTTATTCAAAGGGTTATAGCAGTGATGCCAATAGCAGATGAGCTGAAAAACAAGATTCACGATGAAACCTACGCAGAGATTAAAGCAGAAAAAACCAGCCAGGGTAAAATGAGAAAGCTCTATGATGCGCTAAACGCTGGCGGAGACCGAGTGAAAACAGACTTTTATTATGCTTTGAGAAATAATGAGCCATACCTCTTCAGAGACCTGGGTAAGAGCATCTCTATTCTGATTTATTAGTTCACAAATCTGCAATTATGATTAGTTTAGTCAGCATTAACCATCTTTACCTTGGTGATGTCCTGCTGAACAGGTGGTGTGACAGCTAATCATGAAGCTGATGTGAACATGGAGAGAGGAATACTACAGTAAACTGAACAGTGAGTACAATCTTATGCCAGCTGCATTATAATTAATGCACACTCACCGGCCACATTAATAGGTACACTGTGCTAGTACTAAATAAGACCTAATTTGCCTTCATTTATTCATTCTTTTTCTTTTTGACTTAGTCCTTTTATCAATTAGGGGTTATCACAGCGAAATGAATCGCCAACTTATCCAGCACATGTTTTACGCAGCGATTGCCCTTCCAGCTGCAACCCATCGCTGGGTCACAGACACACACATACACTATTTACAATTTAGCTTACCCAATTCACTTATAGCACATGTCTTTGGACTTGATTGTGAAGCGCTCATGATTGTGAAGCGCTTTGGGTGTATGACCATACACAGTAAACGCGCTATTATAACTACACAATACATTGTGGGGGAAACCGGAGCACCCGGAGGAAATCCTTGCAAACATGGGGAGAACATGCAAACTGCTCACAGAAATGCCATCTGACCCAGCCAACCTTCTTGCTGTGAGGCGACAATACTACCCACTGAGCCACCATGCCGCCCTTATTTGCCTTCAGAACATATTTAATTCTTGGTGGAAATCCATTCGGCAAGATGCTGGAAACCAAGACAGTTACTAAAAATCTCACTCACTAGGGGTCACCAGAGTAAAACGAGCCACCAATTACTTTGGCATGTTTTATTTGGTGGATGCCCTTCCAGCTGCAAACCAGCACTGGGAAATACCCAAACACTACGTCCATTTTTTTTGTTTTTCAATTGACCTATACCGAATGTCTATGATGCATGCTCGGAATTTGTGTGCACTGAAATTCACAGATTTACGCAGATTTTTAGCCCAGATTTTTTGAGTCTCTTTATTTACTTATTTTTACTTACTTCTATGTATTATTACTATATTCGTTTTTTAAACGAACTTTAGTAATATATTATTGACTAATATGAAAATGTTTATGATTTATTTACAAAACAGTTTGTAAAGTAATACTTTATGTATTTTAGTTGATGTATCGTATGAGAGACTTGCTTTGTGTACCAAATAAGTGGATCTAATTGGATTTGCATTGTAAACATTACATAAAAGTTTTATTTCATATATTGTTTTTAGTTATGATACTTCCAAAATTATTCTGCATAAATCAGCAGATTTTTTTACTTAATTCTCTGCAGAAATAGCAAAAACGTGTCTTTGCAGTATAGTGACTGTCTTGCTGTGAGGCAACAGGGCACGTGCCACATTAATAAGGACTCATTCTGTGGAAGGGTTTACATGATTTCATTGTGTCCATTGTTTTTAAAAATGTTATAGCAGTCAGTTATTTGGCGCAAAATAAACTTTAGCAGACTATATGGCATAACAATCGTACAGTTAATTATGCTGTGAGGGGCTCAGCCTTCACTCCTGCAGGGGTCCATGCAGTTTCCGCTGTTGCACTGGACTTTATTGGATGGGTCAAAAGAAAAAAAAAAAACATTTCCACTATTTTGAATTTAAACTACTAAAAATGTCAATCCTACATACTGAACTTTTTTAAATAAACGTTCGTTATTCAAGCATCCACGCCCTTGTAATTAAAGCATGATGTGACTACCTGACCGCTAAAAAAGTATGTTCTGTATAGTATGAATTGGAGAAGTATGAATGGTATTCATATGTACTTCATCTGGCATTTCCTTTAATCACGTGACCGACTCACATAAGTTGCATCGCTTTACTCCTATAGGTTGTTTTTAGTCATGTGGTTCTGGTGATGTGCAAAATTTAGATGGAGGGCAGAAAGTAAAAATAGTAAATAGGAGACATAAAAAGTCTGTATTTTTGCGATTTAAACCATATTTCAAAGGAGACGTAAATAGAAAATATCCACATATGTTGGGCATGATCCTTATATTGTGAAGAGGGCAGAGTTTTCTACTAAACTAAAATATATTTGCCTGTCATGGATGCGGTAGATACTGTATAAGCTACGTTACATTAAAAAATACTATAGTAAATACTAGTGTTTGGAAGATAGATAATTAGGAAAATAGATAATTGGAAGTTAGATAATTACTAAACTTAAGTAAATATTACTAAATTATCGCTAAAATTATTAAACTGTCGTAGTAATTATATTGTTGCTAAGGAACAGCACAATTGAGTAATCTAATTATTAAATAGGCTTCAGTTTTCTACTCTACAGTATAATCACAATGCAACACAGTTTACACTGACGTTACAGTATTTATTACAGTTTACAAGGTTACAGTATTCTGTAGCATTCGTTAACAAAGAGTTGTACACATTACTATGTGGTTCAAAAACATGTTAATTATAAATTAGGTTTTTCCCACATCCTATGTCCCAGACATCACGAGATAACAGATGCAAGCATACAAAAGTGTGGACGTATAGTCTGCAATATTTATTTATTTTTTGTAAGGGGCAAACTGCTGCTGCACTTCTAAATGTTCACGTTCGGTTGGTTATTCCACCAAAATGCCAGTAAAGACATACATTATTGCAAAACGAGGCAGAGATTTCATTGCAGTGATTAATTACATGGCAGGGCACATTATTATATTCACCTGGATTTTGTATAAGTATGTTGGTGTTTGTATCTGATATTCCTATAACACATTAACACATAATACACATGGCTAGGCCTGTATATAATCTTTATTGGTGTTGTCAAATGGTTATCACATTTAAAAAAGTTTGTACACATGGATGTATTAAATGAATGTTTATTACACGCCGCCTTTTCTTCTGTTTTTCAGACAGTTTTTTGTAACTTTCTCCCCTTTATGAGCCAAAACGTTTGGAAGGCTATAAAAGCTGTTCAGCATTTCTAATTTTGGCCAATTTACAGCACAGACGCTCTTGATTCTGGAGGTCATTAATATTTTAATAACACTACTACTTAAGGCGTTTTAGAGTGACCAAAACAACATTTTAGATGGTTTACAGTGTGCTCAGCCTGCTGATTTGTTCATTTACACACATTTTCATCATCACATGATCTCTTATCACTCAATCACATTCATTCATTCATTTTCTTGTCGACTTAGTCCCTTTATTAATCCGGGGTCGCCACAGCGGAATGAACCGCCAACTTATCCAGCAAGTTTTTACGCAGCGGATGCCCTTCCAGCCGCAACCCATCTCTGGGAAACATCCACACACACACACTCATACACTACAGACAATTTAGCCTACCCAATTCACCTGTACCGCATGTCTTTGGACTGTGGGGGAAACCGGAGCACCCGAAGGAAACCTACACGAACGCAGGAAGAACATGCAAACTCCACACAGAAACGCCAACTGAGCCGAGGATCAAACCAGCGACCCGGCCACCTTCTTGCTGTGAGGCGAACGTGCTACCCACTGCGCCACTGCGTTGCCCCTCACTCAATCACATGACCATTTTAATGGGCATACTGAAATTTGTACGGTAAAAGTGTTTCCATCAGAGTTTGTGCACATCTTTTCGTATCGAATAAAAAGTTTTTCCTACTCAGTTATGCCCATGTTTTTTATGCGCATTTTCAAAATTTATGCGCATCATGGTGTTTCCAACAACCAATTTTTTTATGCGCATAGGCAAAATACGCATAAAAATAGGTGGATGGAAACATGACGTGATGTGAAAACAACCTATTCATAAATTTTCTCCAGTGGCATCATGGGATTGCGTAGCATTTATCGTATGCACACTTCAGAATCTCAATGAAAATAGTCATCCAGGTAGTCATCTTGCGTACTGTTTTTTAAATACTATGAATTCAGACGTACTACTTGGCGTTGACTATGACTTGGACCACATGATCACTGCACTTCACAGAACCAGAGAAAAGCAGCAGCACATCCAGTAATAAACACTTAATTAGACATATATATATATATATATATATATATATATATATATATATATATATATATATATATATATATATATATATATATATCCTAATATTTGTGTTTTAAAAAAATGTGCAATTGATTTTTTGCTATGCAAATGTCTTCATACGTCTGTGCCAATTGCCTAGTAGTAAATTGCACCGACACACAGCGCATCTGGAAAGTATTCCATACTTTCACTTTTTTTTATGTTACAGCCTTATTCAAAAATGGATTAAATTCGTTTATTTCCACAACATTCTACACAAAATACCTCATAATGACAATGTGAAAAAAGACTTTGTTGAAAATTTATACAAAATTTAAAACCTGAAAAATTATCAGACCAGAGAATTTTGTTTCTAATGGTTTGAGAGTCCTTCAGATGCCTTTTGGCAAATTCCAGGCCAAGGAGTGGCTTCCGTCTGGCCACTCTACCATACAGGCCTGACTGGTGGATTACTGCACAGATGGTTGTCCTTTTGTAAGGTTCTCCTCTTCACAGAAGATCGCTGGAGCTCAAACAGAGTGACCATTGGGTTATTGATCACCTCCCTGACTAAGGCCCTTCTCCCCTGATCACTCAGCTTAGATGGCCAGTCAGCTCTAGGAAGAGTCCTGGTGGTTCCAAACATCTTCCACTCACGGATGATGGAGGCCACTGTACTCATTGGAACTTTCAGAGCAGCAGAAAGTTTTCTGTAACCTTCCCCAGCCTTGTGCCTCAAGACAATCCTGTCTTGGAGGTCTACAGACAATTCCTTTGTCTTCATGCTTGGTTTGTGCTTTGGCATGCACTGTCAACCCTGGGACCTTATATAGAACCGAATGTATCTGAGCTCAATTTAGAGCTTCACGGCAAAGGCTGTGAATACTTCTGTACAAGTGATTTTTCAGGTTTTTTATTTTTAATAAATTTGCAACAATTTCAAAAAGTCTTTTTTCACATTGTCATTATGGGGTATTGTGTGTAGAAATTTGAGGAAATAAATGAATTTAATCCATTTTGGAATAAGGCTGTAACATAAAAAATGTGGAAAAAAGCGAAGCGCTATCAATACTTTTCAGTTGCACTGTATAGCACCAAGGTACTCATGGCGACCTGAGTTTGATTCCCGGCTCAGGGTCCTTTGCCGATCCTTCCCTTCTTTTTGCTCCCAATGATTTACTGTCAATTGTCTACACTCTTTTATCCATTAAAGGTTAAAAAATAATTATTAAAAAAAGCAGATGTTTTTCTACAAAGTTAGAGGATATGAACAAATTAAACTGGTGTCATCTCGGAGTCATGTAGTAGCGTGAATGCAGCATGCATCAAGTTGCTGTTATGTGATTGGCTGATTAGACTTAACAAGCAGCTCATCAGGTGTGCCTAATAAAGTGGCCAGTGAGTACATGGATGAATTCAAAATTCACAAAGTCATATTAACAAACATCCTGAATAATCTTTCTTTATCGAATGTAGCTCCTTGCACCGAAGACACAGAAGAAGACCCCTGCAATTGGAAACGAATGTGACCTGAAAAGATGCAGCCACCTTGAGATTAAGGAAAGTTTCATAAATGCAGTTACTAAGGGAACAGTTTACCCAGGCATTTGACCAAAGATATGACTCTTTTGTAAATGAAACAAAAGGAGAAATGGATCTGTTTAATATGAAGGATGAATGTATTGATTGTTGAAGGTTGAATCTTTCAGATCTTTTGATCTTTGTGTTTTAAATAAGAAAAGTCATATTGGTGTTCATTTTGTAAGTAAACATTTTTAATTCATCAAAAGTACATGTTATGAATCAATTTTTACATTTTTTAAGTATTTTTATATTATATTACTATTTTTTTAAGTTTTAAAACACAATCAAGTATCAAATAAGTCTTATTATTAATTAAAATGCTTAAAAAGTAGCTCTTTTTTATACTATAGCTAACTAGTATTGAACTTGTATGATGTATACCACCTGTTTTTTATATTTTAAATGTAAAACCTCATTGACTTGCAACATGATGTCACAACATTTATAAAATAAAATGACCAATACTTGCCTTTCTGTCTTTCTGCCTTTATAGTGTTGATTTTTATTTATACTGTTCATTTTCTTTCACAATGCATTGAGATCATTGCAGTGGGAAGGATTTCTTTCTGTTTGATAATCTGTGAATTGGTTTACTTTACATTGTTTATTTTGTTGACAATCAGTTATATAGGGGGGTTTAAAAGCGAAAAAATCAGAAAAAGGGGCTACACTTACCCTTTTTATAAAAAGTTATATTACTATAATACTTAATAAAAATACAGTTTTTTTTTTTTCTCAACAAGTAAAATATAATTAAGTACTAGTTGCTGTTGGAATAAGCTATCTACGAATAAGCTGGTACTTAAAATTAATATATTATTACATCTCCCTTTTGGATCAGATTCAGAATCGCTGAGATCTGAGAAATACCTAAAAAGGAAAACCAAATGTTTTAAAAACAACTTTCCCCCTTAAATACATTTATAAAGACAAATGACCAGAATGGTTTATAAATGCAAAACCATATAGACTATAGTTTACAGGATGCATACTGGGGAATTATATAATTATTATATTTTAGCATAACTACTCTTCATATTTAGGCAGTTTATCTTAAAATGAAGACATGTTTAGTTAGCAGGTTTCCTGGTTGATGGCTTTATGTCACCCCTGCAGCAGCAACCAATCACACCACACAGCCTGCTTGAATACACTTTCGTTTCCTTTGACTTTTTTCCGGTTGAAACAGCAGATCGATGCGAGACGGATGCTCTACTGTGTAGGTTTTCAGATCTATTATTATCTGTTTTTTTAAGTTAGGCAGGTCATCCACAAAAGTCAGTAAGATGAACTTAAATGATGGGAAGAAGAAATTTCTATTCGAAGGTAAGCTACAAACTTATTTATATAACTAGGAGTAAATGTGAAGTAAAATCCCTCCGATTAAATTGAATGTCACAAAATGAGCAAACGAGCAGTAAATTGTAGAAATAGCAGCCAAGTTTATAATGGAAATTAGAACAAAATGTTGGCCTGCTTTATATTTTAAAAAAACTAAATTCACCCAGTGAAATAGCATCAACGCACGAATGCAGATCAAAACATACTTTATTTAAAAATCTGTAAAGCTATTCCTATAGCTTTGATTCACTTAATTCAAAGTACTTTGACTTATTCTGGTGTTAGGCTACTCCATTATTGCTGAATTTATCAATTAGTAGTAACAAATTACTAGATAATCACCGTCTGGTTCGGCTCAGCTGCCAAAACCGACCTCTGTAGACTACAGTGAATAGTCCGGACTACTAAATGGATCATTTGCAGTACCCTTCTTCAAGAACTGTCCTCTTCCAGAGTGAGTAAAAGGGCTCTCAAATCACTCCGGACGCCTCACACCCAGCACACTTCCTGTCTGGTCGGCGCTAGAGCACCGAAACAGCCAGACACAGGTAAAGTTTCTTTCCTCAGGCCATCTACCTATTGAACAGTTAAATATTCCCCTATTTAGCAATAAACGTTTCTCATTCGCATTTGTACACAGCACCTGTATATTTATAACAAATCTGTAGCCTACGATTCAACATTCAGATCTGATTAACTGCATCTCTGTTTAATCGTCTTTTTATCATGTTTATTTTGTGTTATCACTTGTCACTTTATGTACACTGGAAGCGTATGTAGCCAAAACAAATTCCTTGTGTGTGTGTGAAGCACACTTGGCAAAAGAACTGATTCTGATAAAAATGTCAAGAATAAGGTAGTTGTGCTTTTACAGCTAAATTGTTCCATGATTATGTCAAATACAATGCGCCTGTAAACCATTCTGGTATGATGGAAAACACTTTCTCTAAATGCGCTCAATGGCCAAAAAGTCAAAGAGATGCATTTCAAAATCGGTCTGTTTTCTACATAAGTGACTTAAATTTGATAAGGCAGAGTGTACCTTCTGTGGATTTATGGATGAAATGCCTATTTTGTACTTGCCCCATTTCATGTGGATTCTGGAGTGATGTTAGAGAATGGCTGGCATTAAAAATGTCAAACATCATGGTTTTTAACATCCAATGATTTCTCTTTTGTGTTGATGGATTAGCCAAGTCCAAACATTGTGAATACTGTTGCTAAATATCATACACACTGCTATAAGTGGAAAGACTGTCCCCTATGCTTTAAACATTTCCAACAAACTTAAACTCTATTACTTCTCACTGAAATTACCTAAAAATTCCTGTGCCCAAAAAATAACATCGGACATAAATAAATTATAAATTTCTTGTATATTGAGCTTTATTTATTTATTTATTTATTTATTTATTTATTAATTCATTATTGCCTTACCTGTAATCTGAACTTCCCCCTAGGTTTAATGCAGAATGTTTTGTTGTTGATTTGTTAATATGTTGTTACCTCTACAAGATTTTGTATTATGTGTTTAACAAAAAATTTTTTATTAAACATTTTTATTATAGCGAGTGAGCGAGGAAGAGAGGCGAGACATTATGCATTTTATTGCACTAATCATTTATTTATTTATTTAAACTTCCCAGGTTCTGCTGGTTGCAATTCCTGGATTTTCATTGCCAATCTTAAGCCAATTCTAATCGTTTTGTTTTTGGTTCAATTTGGAATTTGAGCCCAGAGTACCAGAGTGAGTGCTCCAGCTTGCCTTAAAGGGACTTTAAGTTTTTATTATTGGGTATATTAAATAAACACAGGTTACCAGGGTGATAATTCATTTATTTTTCTTTACTCTGGAGCATCAACATAGCATTCACAAACAGCAGTACAACAGAATTGCAACCGCTGAACTTTTTTTCTTTTTGAACTTTTTTCTCCCTGTCTTGCTTTTTGGTGCACCTCCCTTAAAGTAGCCAGAGCACAAATGTAACTTTCTCAACGAACACATATTGAACCTTGCACCAGACATTCATTTTCCTTTGGCTTAGTCCCTTATATATTGGTTCAATTAGTTAGAGACAAGTGACGTCAACCTCAACAATGGGCAGCAGCAGGGGGTGTGAGAGTACGTATCATGGTTGGTGTATCGTGATATTTCGGTTCGGTTTGGAATATCGTTACACCCCTAATATTAGAGGTCACCACAGTGGAATAAACTGCCCTCTATTCCGGCATGTTTTATTCAGCTGATGCCCTTCCAGGAGCTAATTTAGCCATACCTGTCTGTTCTGTTTGTCAGTATGCATTTTTCTAACCATAGTACTGCACACTATTTAGCTAAGGAAACAGTAATTTATGAGGGAGAATTATGAGTTCACTGCATTACAGTTTGATTTATGATCTTTCATTTGGTTGATGTTAGCAGGTGCTGTCAGGAGGAAACGCAAGCTTTCTGATCCTAAATGCTTGCTTCCAGTAAAGCGGAGTAAAGGTATTGCCACAACTATAAACATTATGTATGATATGTACAGTTGATGACATAATTAATAGCCCCCTGAATTAATAGCCCCTCTGTTTATTTTTCCCCTTAATTTTTGTTTTATAGAGAGTTTCATAATAGTAGTTAAAACTATTATACTATTAACCATAATAGTTTTAATAACTCATTTCTAATAACAGATTTATTTTATCTTTGTCATGATGACAGTAAATAATATTTTACTAAATATTTTTTAAGACACTTCTATACAGCTTAAAGTGACATTTAAAGGCTTAACTAGGTTAATTAGGTTAACTAGGCAGGTTAGGGTAATTAGGCAAGTTATTGTATGATGATGGTTTGTTCTGTAGACTATCTAAACAATATATAGCCTAAAGGGGCTAATAATATTGAGCTTAAAATGTTTTTTAAACAATTAAAAACTACTTTTATTTTAGTCGAAATAAAACAAATAAGACTTTCGGCAGAAGAAAAAAAACATTATCAGACATACTGTAAACATTTCTTTAAAAAATATATTAAAAAAATTAAATAAAATTCAAAGGGGGGCTAATAATTTTGACTTCAACTGTATGAACCTCAAATAGTAATATTCCTCATTAATCTCATATGAAACTTATCGCCAAGCAAGAAAGCACTTTTAATTTTTACAGTAAATTAAATTCTATATCATATCTATTCAAGCTATAGTTAACGTATGAAACTTCATTAGCAATATTTCTCATTAATGCTTGTCTAATATTTATCATCAAACAAAAGGACACTTTTTATAATGTATCAAAAGCAATGCATACAGTTTATACTATACAGTATATTCTCCTCATTCACTTTTCTCCTCATAGACTTCCATTCATATGCACACGAATGTGTCAAACCGGAAATGCAAGCTCTTGCGACAGGTTTCGCAGTTCGCTGCGTTGGAAAGTTTAAGCTGGGTGAAGTCTGACCTGCAAAATCACATCACTTGACTGCGTGAGACCAATCGAGGATCAAAACATGACCTCTCTGGACAGAAATGTAAAATATGTATCAATCGCTCGCTCTTTTAAATATCTAATCATCTTGTTTTATCCCATGCTTAATTTCGCAGTGCCGTACTACAGAATAACACACGCTCAAACTCTAGTGTGACCGCAGGTTAATACTGCCAGACACGCATCGCTCAGAACCTTTTTGCTTTTTTGATTATAGCTTACACACGGGATCAATTGGTTATGCACAGGGACAGGGTGCTCCGGCACCTCTACCTGTTGGGGTTACGGGTCAACCGAGAAAAGAGCAAGCTGGTCCAGGTGCAGAGCCTCTCTTTTCTCAGGTAGAACTTGGACTCAATCACCATGACAGTGCGCCTCTCCTGTGAGTTGAAAGAACTGATGGCGACCTGTCTGAAAGAGTTCAATGGGAAAAACTGTGGTCCCACTGAAATCATTTTAAAGGCTTCTGGGGCATATGGCATCTGCAGCCGCAGTCACGTCACTCGGATTGCATATGAGACCACTTCAGCATTGGCTTCACAATCCCCAGACACGCTCTGCTGTGTCGCCACGGCCTTAGCCCTTGAACAGAACCTGCATTTCTACAGGCCGTAGAAACGGTACGGTTGTTTCGACGGATGCTTCTAGTATGGGCTGGGGGGCCAT